CCCAGTGTAGGAGAGAACGGGGATGTCGGCACTTCCCATCTCCACGATAGGGAAACTGAGTCTGAGACAAGCCTCGCAGCCCAGTGTCCTGTTCAGGAAACCCTGCTGATGCCCAAGGGCAGCTCCTGTCAAACTCCTGACTTTCCAGAGCAGTGATGGCGAACCTATGACACGTGTGTCAGAGGTGACACGAGAACTCATTTTTTTGGTTGATTTTTCTTTGTTAAATGGCATTTAAATATATAAAACAAATGTCAAAAATATAAGTATTTGTTTTACTATGATTGCAAATATCAACAAATTTCTATATGTGACACGGCACCAGAGTTAAGTTAGGGTTTTTCAAAATGCTGACATGCCGAGCTCAAACGGTTCGCCATCACTGTTCTAGAGCGTCCTCGACAGCGTTCCCTTCACTGGGGAGGGAGAGGTTGGAATTCTTCACACTGACGGCCATTGCAATGGACTTGACATTTGTTAATATATCTCTTAAAACACAACTTCCTTTGACGTTGCCTCTTTTGATTCCCTTGTATTTTTATATCAAAGAGATTAAACCACTTTGTTGGACATTTTTCCCCGGAGCTTTAATCGTGTCTCGACACAGCTTCCCACTCAGGGACACGGGAAGGACTGAAGATGAAGAGCAGGGCGGGGCTTGATGAGGTTTAACAGGATTTGCTCAAATGGGTGCCTCTCCCTGGTCCCTCGGAGCGTGGGTGTGGTACCCAGCCAGGCCTTTCTCCCTGCTCCTCCCTCCACAGGCAGTGCCCACAGACCCCTGGGTTCAAAGGGGCAGGGCTAGAATATCAACTACACAGGCCTGCACCTGTGTTTATCTTAGTCAGTGCTTTATCTCCAGCTCTTAGCACAGGAGATGGACTGTAGTAGTGGCTCAGCTAATGCTTGCTGAACAGATGCATAAATTAATAGAATGGCTCTTGAACATCTCATAATGCAATGTGATATGCCAGTTAATAAAAAGAATCCCACTGCCCCTGAATAGTCTTTTGACTTGATGGGCCACAGCCGTGGAGGCTAAGGTTTCTAAAATGGGTATTGCACTTGCTCTTTCTTTGAAGAAATCTGGGTAGTAGAGGCTCCAAGCCTTTCAGCTCCAAGCTTGCCCTGCAAATCAGGGTAGCGGTGGGGTGCTTTCCATTCTCTGATGCTTAGGCCTCTTTCTTCCTCTTTAAAATGGGGTTAATGGAATATTGTATTATGTGTCAATTCAAGGAGAATTGATGCATATGCATTTACATTTATATTTACATTTAGGTTCATATTCAGACATTCTTTCCCTGGATCCCCATAATGGCCCCCAGGGCTGGAAGGGCAGAAAATAGTATTCACATTCTTTGTTTTCTTTAATATTTTATTGATTTTTTACAGAGAGGAAGGGAGAGGGATAGAGAGTTAGAAACATCGATGAGAGAGAAACATCGATCAGCTGCCTCCTGCACACCTCCTACTGGGGATGTGCCCGCAACCAAGGTACATGCCCTTGACCGGAATCGAACCTGGGACCTTTCAGTCCACAGGCTGACGCTCTATCCACTGAGCCAAATCGGTTAGGGCAGTATTTGCATTTTATAGCAGTAAACTGAGGCCGAGGCAAGTAGGGACCGTGTCTTTGGATCCCAGAGCAAGTCTGACATCATCAGGAAATGGGACCGACTACCACAGCTTCTGGGTGTTTCTTTCAAGAGCAGCTGAGCAAGACTCGGATCTCACCTGGGCTGAGCGAGGAGCCGCTGCCGCAGACAATTCCAGCCCCTGGGAGAACGCGCCCCAGGACCGGACTGGAGGAAGCCCCCTTTCCCATCTGCTGGACGCCAGCGGCTCCCCATCTGGGCCGAGTGCCCTAGAAAACCTTTCTCTGCTCCCAGGACAGCACAAGGCCTCCTCCTCCAAGAATATATGACGGTGTGTTTAAAAATAAAGAGGAAACAGTGCAGAAAATCAGCAGAAAGCTGTTTTCCCCAAAGAGCTGAGGGCAGGAGAGCAGAGCGTGCTTTCCCAGGTGCCCCGGCCACGGACTCCTCTGGGGGGCACTGCGCCTGCCTGCCCAGCTTCAGAGGCTTGGGGAGCCCCAGCAGTGCTCCCCCAAGGCCTCATCTGGGTCCAGCCGCTGAGGTCCCAGGGGTGCACGGGGCCTTGGGATTCCTGGCAGGTCTCACTGTTTCTGGACATCTCCCATCAGGTTTTCCGTAGAAGTCTCCTGCCTGGGGGCAGAGCAAACTCATGCTGGGATCCTGCAAACAGCAGATCCCTCATTTGCCTTTGTGACTGTCGCGTCCAGGAGCGGGAGCAGGTGGCCCTGTGCAGAGTGGGCAACAGATGTCCGACACAAACAGCCCTTCCTGTGCCCCTCAGTGAGATATCTGGAACTTTTGCCATCGCCCTTCAGCAGAGGAAAGGGGCTGCCAGCGTCACCCGAGGCAGCTGGCTCTGTGGTTAGGGGACATTCATCCGGGTTGTTCTATTGGGGATGCAGTTTCTGGGGAAGGCGAGACCCCAGGAAATTTAAAAAAAAAAAAAAAAAAAAAAAGCTTGCTTATAAAGAGGAAGAAGGACTGAATGATAGCAGTCCCGGTCCCCGAGGTGGCTTCTTGTTGGTGACAGATGTCGTGTGTTTCCTTCCACGTCCTGCATGGATCAGGGTTCGGGATCTGAAAAGAGGAGCTGCACACAAATGAGAGAAAAATGACACGAGATAATTTTGAAATATTGGGGGACCAGGCGGGCAAGTCCAGAAGGACTTCCACCGACATTCAGACCGCTCCAACCTTTTATTTGATCTGGGGTAGCCCTAGGGTAAGGAGGTTTGTCTGGGGTAGCCCTAGGGTAAGGTGGTTTGAATGACACAAGGATTAGCTCATCGGTAGACAATTTCCAGAAATAGGCAGAATATCTGATCAACAATAATCAACAAGGATCTACACAAGTATCTAAGGAATTCAGTGAACTAAGGTGGGGATGATGCTTCAGCTACCATTATCTAGAGATTAACTGGGTGGTGTCTAGATTAACTGGGTGGTGCACAGCCCTGACCTTTGCTAGGACTTCAAAGGTTACTAGCTTTTGAGGGTCTCAGCTAGTGAAGACAATAAATGAATTCCTGCAGCTTCTCCCAGGATCAGAAGGTCATAGAACTTTCTGGAGGGAGCAGCTCATCAGTCTACGCAGGAGCCATAGAACATCCACTCTGCAGGCCACATATGGTGGGTGCTGGCTAGAGGAAACCAGAACCCAGCCCTCACTCAGCCACTCTCTGCCTGAACTTCACTTTCTCATCGGAAGGTTGGAGAGAGAATAACAGCACCAGTCTGATAGCTTTGTTGTGAAGATCAGAGATAATCTTCTAGCATCTTACACGGTGTGAGCAGAATATCAGAAAATCAGAGCCAGTACCACAGCTTCTGGGTGTTTCTTTCAAGCGCAGCTCACACTCCAAAAATGTTTTACAGCCTTTTAAAAAATTTATTTTTGAGATGCAACTGACATAGAACATGGCATTAGTTTTAGGTGAACAATATAATGATTTGATATGTGTATGCAATGCAAAATCACCACCACAGTAAGTCTAGGTACCGTCCTTAGCACTTCAGTTACAGTATTTTCTCTTATGTGAGAACATCTAAGAGCTACTCTCTCAGCAACTTTCAAGTAGACGATGCAGCGTTGTTACCTATAGTCACCATGCTGGACACTGCACCCTCCGGACCTACCTTATAACTGAAGTTTGTGCCTTTTGAATCCTTCACCCATTTCTTTAAATATATATATACATATGTATACATGTATACATATATATATGTGTGTGTGTGTGTGTGTGTGTGTATATATATATATATATACACATTGGTTTTGAGAGAGAGGGGAAGGGAGAGGGATAGAGAGATAGAAACATCGATGAAAGAGAGGAAGAGATTGATTAGCTGCCTCCTGCAAGGTCCCCACTGGGGATTGAGCCCGCAACCCAGGCATCTGCTCTGACCAGGAATCGAACCAGCAACCTCTTAGTTTCTGGTTGATGCTCAACCACTGAGCCATGCCAGCCATCAGCCAGGTGAACCCTTCACCCATTTCACTCCCTCCCTCCCACTCCCTCCTGCCTCTGGCAACCACCGAGCTTACATTCTAATGGAGGGAAAGAGACTATTAGAAATGAACATGATGCGTAAGCAAACAATACAGTATTTATGACAGAGAGTACAGGATCCTACTCCGATGGGTTGTTGTGGATACAAATTGAAAGGGCGAGGGCTAGGCCCTCCATCTTGCCTCAGGGTAAGTGCTACGCCCTCCATCTTACCTTGGCCATGTGCTTGGCAAGGAGCTTCTTCCCGGAAGTCTAAGCCTCTGCTAGCCACACCCAGGAACAAGATACCGACTTTCGCCTGGCCAATAGGCAAGGCCCACAGCCCTTTCTCCTCCCCTTACTCCAACCCCCTATAAAACCCCTCTCCACACAGAGTTCTCTCTCTCTGCTTCCTGCTGCTGTGTCGGTGAGGTGGGGGAGCCGAGCTAGCTCGAATACAGACTCTTATGCTTTTGCATCAGACTTGGCTGGCTCCCTGTAGGTCTGTGGGGATCTTGAAATCTGGGCATAACACAAATGACAGTCCCTGTATAATATGTGGGCTCTGGGAAGTATTTAGTAAGTTGTTGCAATTGTAATTTTTTAAATCGCTCCCAGATTTCTTTAACTCCCTTAACCACATTGTGTCTACTTTGCACCTAGGAACTGTTCATTGATTCCTTCAACAAACACCTATTGACCCTCTATTATACCTCAACGACCCTGTACTAGTCACCAGGGATACAAGTCAATCATTAAGAAAACATGTTCCCTTCCCTTGAGAATCCCACAGTCTGGTCGACTGTACATAGAAGAGAGGCCTTGGTGAGCTCAGAGGCGAGAGTGACCTTGAAGTCCGGTGTCTCTAAGAATCAGAATAGTCCACTTCATGATGATGTCTTTATTTTTAACTCAGGTGTCCCAGCGATGGCTGGGGATTCCAGGAATGCCATGAACCAGAACATGGAGATTGGAGTCACTCCCAGAGACCCCAGGAAGATCCCCAAACAGGCTCGCGATTACGTACCCATCGCCACGGATCACACCCGCCTGCTGGCCGAGGGCAAGAAGCCACGCCAGCGCTACATGGAAAAGACCGGCAAGTGCAACGTGCACCATGGCAACGTCCAGGAGACCTACCGGTACCTGAGCGACCTCTTCACCACGCTGGTGGACCTCAAGTGGCGCTTCAACCTGCTGGTCTTCACCATGGTCTACACCATCACCTGGCTCTTCTTCGGCTTCCTGTGGTGGCTCATCGCCTACATCCGGGGTGACCTGGACCACGTCGGGGACAAAGAGTGGATTCCCTGTGTCGAAAACCTCAGTGGCTTCGTGTCGGCCTTCCTGTTCTCCATCGAGACGGAAACCACCATCGGGTACGGCTTTCGGGTGATCACGGAGAAGTGCCCGGAGGGTATCATCCTCTTGATGGTGCAGGCCATCCTGGGCTCCATCGTCAACGCCTTCATGGTGGGCTGCATGTTCGTCAAGATCAGTCAGCCCAAGAAGAGAGCCGAGACGCTCATGTTCTCCAACCACGCGGTCATCTCCATGCGGGACGAGAAGCTCTGCCTCATGTTCCGCGTGGGGGACCTCAGGAACTCCCACATCGTGGAGGCCTCCATCCGGGCCAAGCTCATCAAGTCCCGGCAGACCAAGGAGGGGGAGTTCATCCCCCTGAACCAGACCGACATCAACGTGGGCTTTGACACCGGGGACGACCGCCTCTTCCTCGTGTCGCCGCTCATCATCTCCCACGAGATCAACGAGAAGAGCCCTTTCTGGGAGATGTCCCGGGCCCAGCTGGGTCAAGAGGAGTTTGAAATCGTGGTCATTCTAGAAGGGATGGTGGAGGCCACAGGTAAGACACTTCGTCTTCCTTGGTTGCCCCACCCCCAGAAGCATAGGCCACTGGGATTGCAGAGGGTGGAGGTTCCTGCCTGAGAATCCTGAGCTGGCAGAGTCCGCCAGCCGCTCCCTAAAGTGTGACCTTGTTGCTCAAGGTCGAGTAATAGCAACAGCTGGGGTTCATCGAACCCTCCCAACGTCCAGGCCCGGCTCTGAACTTCCAACACGTAAGATCTCATTTAATGCCCTCCCAGAGCCCTAGGAGACAGTGTTCCCTAGGTCCCAGGTTAGGACACAGGCACAGGCAGGCGCGTTATTATTTGTCCAGAAGAGGTGCTACCAAGTTGTAGGGTCAAGATTCACACCGAGGCAGGGACCCCAAAATTGTCACTAGTTTCCAACAGGCTAATCCGCCTGCCTCCTCCCAGCCTGGCCCAGGTGTCTACCCGAGAGGAGCGGTGTGATCAAATGTCTTTGGGGATCACGGGGTTAAAAAAAGGGACTTGATTCTTAACAAAGGGACTTGATGGTGTCTTTCCATGCTGTGAATTGCTTGGTGAAGAGAGGAAAGTGAGCTGCATTTCCCAGACTCAGGGATTCCCCAAGTCTCAGAATCTTCTTTTTTTTCTCTTTAATATATTTTTATTGGTTTCAGAGAGGAAAGGGGAGGGAGAGAGAGATAGAAAAATCAATGATGAAGAATCATGGTCATTGATCGGCTGCCTCCTGCATGCCCCACACTGGGGATCCAGCCCGCCACCCGGACAGGTGCCCTGACCGGGAATAGAACTGTGACCTCCTGTTCATAGGTCAACACTCAACCACTGAGCTATGCAGGCCCGGCTCGGAGTCCTGTTTTTGAAGAGACACCTACGTCCCAGACCTGTGGGAGGGGGGCTCTTCTGGCTCCTCCCCCTGCCCCCAGCAGCCTGCCCCCAGCTTCCGGCTCAGCGAACACTGGGTGTGCAGAGAACTCTCCACATCCATGTATGCCCAAGCCGTGCCCTCTCCACAGACAGCCTGGCACTGCCCTGCTTAGCTGTTGACTCTGACAGGCAGCTGGCAGCCGCGAGTGTCCTCATTCCTCAGCCACATGGAGCTCTGTGTGGGGGTCTGGGGAGTCCTGGTTGGAGGAGTCCAAGCCCCACACCCACCGTGGCCGGACCCCCTGGATGAGGGGCCTCCTAGCCAAACCTGCTTCTTAGTCCCCTCCCCCTCACTCCTCTTACTACTTTCTCCTTTTTTCACTGAGTAGATGGAGCACTTGTAGAAAACTCAGTTGTAGAAACATTTTTCTAATTTTTGCAACAACAATGCAGGGCTGGCTTCCATCTGCAGGGGGCAGCTTCCAGCAGACGAGGTGGTCACACCCAGGCCTACACTTACAGATCTAACGCCTGGTCCTCCACACCACGCTGCCCCAAATGTTAGGGGCCTGTCACACCGGCGGCCAAACAAGCCGTCCGCACCTTCCAGAAAGCTGGCTGCTGGGTGGGCGAGCCAGGCGGGGGCAGACACAGAGCTCCCCTGCGGAGCCAGTGGGACGTGGCTGGGGATGCTAATGGGTCCCAGGGGCCGGTGCAGCCAGGCCGCTTGGCCATCTGCTGGGCTGAGCCGGGCCAGGCAGCATGTGACAGCAGCTGCGGGAGCCCCTGGGACTGAGGGCAGTCAGGGTGCCAGAAGCCTCCTCCAGCCGGGCTGGGGCTCACAGGTTGTGCCGAGCTTGGTGCAGGGCTCAGGGTAAGAACAGGCTGAGTTTTTGCAGGAGGAGCTCAACTCCAAGGCCACGAATGAGGGGTCAGATCAGACCCATGGGGACAAATGGGATTAGGCCACTGGGATTGCAGAGGGTGGAGGTTCCTGCCTGAGAATCCTGAGCTGGCAGAGTCCGCCAGCCGCTCCCTAAAGTGTGACCTTGTTGCTCAAGGTCGAGTAATAGCAACAGCTGGGGTTCATCGAACCCTCCCAACGTCCAGGCCCGGCTCTGAACTTCCAACACGTAAGATCTCATTTAATGCCCTCCCAGAGCCCTAGGAGACAGTGTTCCCTAGGTCCCAGGTTAGGACACAGGCACAGGCAGGCGCGTTATTATTTGTCCAGAAGAGGTGCTACCAAGTTGTAGGGTCAAGATTCACACCGAGGCAGGGACCCCAAAATTGTCACTAGTTTCCAACAGGCTAATCCGCCTGCCTCCTCCCAGCCTGGCCCAGGTGTCTACCCGAGAGGAGC